TCCTGCTTCTATGACCAGTGAGGGGGGAGAGGAGCATTGCTGCTCTCAGGCTCAGCGCTGGATTGAGCTTGAGCTCAGTTAAATCTTTGGGGGAACTGACTATAGGCGGTTTTTTTTTTTTTTTTTTTTTTTTTTGTTTTTACACTTTAAAATGTTACTAAACATTGCATTCACTATATCTGGTCTCCCCGGACCCCACATTCACTATATCTGCTCTCCCCGGACCCGGCATTCACTATATCTGCTCTCCCCAGACCCTGCATTCACTATATCCGCTCTCCCCAGACCCTGCATTCACTATATCCTCTCTCCCCGGACCCTGCATTCACTATATCCGGTCTCCCCGGACCCTGCATTCACTATATCTGGTCTCCCTGGACCCTGCATTCACTATATCCGCTCTCCCCAGACCCTGCATTCACTATATCCGCTCTCCCCAGACCCTGCATTCACTATATCTGGTCTCCCCATACCCTGCATTCACTATATCTGGTCTCCCCGGACCCTGCATTCACTATATCCGCTCTCCCCGGACCCCGCATTCACTATATCTGGTCTCCCACAGTATACACAACATGGAAATGCAATTACCTTAGTAAATATAAACTGCTAAATACCTTTTCTCAGCAGCAGTATATAGCAGCCTTGGGACTTCTATCAGTGTCCAGCAGAGCACAGGTTGATGCTTGCAAGAGGAGTTTTCATTCTCCTTTCAATGTCCTATGAGCAGCATAAGCCCTGACTCTCTATCTGGACAGTGCTGATTGGCCCTGTGCACTCTCCCAAAGAAAAAAAAAAAACAAAACACAACTCTAGCAATACACACTAAACTGAGCATGTGCAGAATGACTCCTAGAGCTCTGTACTATCAGCAGATGGATTGGGGACAGTAGAAGGGGAGGATCAGAGAAGACTGGATCAAACCGCATTTTTACACAATGCAGAAGATTAACCCCTTAGGTTTCACAGTGAGTATAACAAGCATGCTTTACTGCATCTACAGACTGATTGTACTGTTGTGGGTTTAGTAACACTTTAATGCTTAGAATGCATTAAGGAAAAAAAACCGTGTATCCCACTTTAATTCTACTTTATACCCAGTGACGTGACTGGCCTCAGGTGATACACAGAGATGAAACAAATCCTCCTACATAAAGTTGTATCTGTTTACATGCAGCCATCTGTCATCTACATCTATTCAAAGTGCAGAATTTATACAGAATCTTGAAGCTCTGAAAAGCAGGGGGTGGGGAGCTGAAGTTACACTCTGAAGAGCTCAGTGACTGCTGAGGGAGGGAAGGGACACACACCTCTTCACACAGCCAGCACACAGGAACATAGCTGAGGCTGTCAATCACAGGCTATGTGCTGGACTCCCTCCCGTCACCATTTTTCTTTTGGTGTCAGGAAAACTTGTCAGAAGTGACATAACAGAGCAAGGAAGCAGCAGACAAATGCTTTGGATTGAACACACACACACACACACACACACACACACACACACTTTCTCTGGTTTCTAAACCTTTAATTCTGCTTTAAGGGTACACAGAAAGTAAATGCCAGCTGCTAGTTCTGTGACAGCATTGTCAGATACAGCAATCAGTCACCATAGATCCGGATCATGTGACCACTATGACAGCCAATCATAGTGATAACACGGCTTTGTTTACAAATAAGCTAAAGCCAAAAGGCCGAACACTGACTGAGCATCAAAGCTAATGACTCCTATTCATGAAAGAGCCAACGACAGACACAGCCTTGAGAAGGTATTCGCACTCCTTGACATGTTCCACATGTTGTCATGTTACAACCAAAAACGTCAATGTATTTTATTGGGATTGGATGTGATAGACCAACACAAAGTGGCACATCATTGTGAAGTGGAAGGAAAATGCTAAATGCTTTTCAACTTCTTTTTACAAATAAATCTGTGAGAAGTGTGGCGTACATTTGTATTCAGCCCCCCGGAGTCAATACTTTGTAGGACCCCCTTTGGCTGAAATTCCAGCTGCAAGTCTTTTTGGGGATGTCTCTACTAGCTTTGCACATCTAGAGAGGGACATTTCTGCCCATTCTTCTTTGCAGAATAGCTCAAGCTCTGTCAGATTGGATGGAGAGCGTCTGTGAACAGCAATTTTCAAGTCTTGACACAGATTATCAATTGGATTTAGGTCTGGACTGTGACTGGGCCATTCTAACACATGAAGATGCTTTCATTTACACCATTCCACTGTAGCTCTGACTGGATGTTTCGGGTCGTTGTCCTGCTGGAAGGTGAACCTCCACCCCGTTCTGAAGTCTTTTGCAGACTCTAACAGGCTTTCTTCTAAGATTTCCCTGTATTTGACTCCATCCATTTTCCCCCATGAACTCTGACCAGCTTCCCTGTCCCTGCTGAAGAAAAGCTTCCCCACATGATGCTGCCACCACCATGTTTCACGGTGGGGATGGTGTGTTCAGGGTGATGTGCAGTGTTAGTTTCCACCACACAATGTTTTGCTTTTAGGCCAAACAATTCAGTTTTGGCCTCATCTGACCAGGGCACCTTCTTCCACAGGTTTGCGGTGTCCCCCACATGGCTTCTCACAAACGGGACTTCTTATGGCTTTCTTTCAACAATGGATTTCTTCTTACAACTCTTCCATAAAGCCCAGATTTGTGGAGTGCACGATTAATAGGTGTCCTGTGGACAGATTCTCCCACCTGAGCTGTGGATCTCTGCAGCTCCTCCAGAGTTACCATGGGCCTCTTGGCTGCTTCTCTGATGAATGCTCTCCTTGCCCGGCCTGTCAGTTTAGGTGGACGGCCATGTCTTGGTAGGTTTGCAGTTGTACCATACTCTTTCCATTTTCGGATGATGGATTGAACAGTGCTCCGTGAGATGTTCAAAGCTGGGGATATTTTTTTTTATAACCTAATCCGGCTTTAAATGTCTCCACAACTTTATCCGACCTATCTGGTGTGTTCCTTGGCCTTAATGATTCTGTTTGTTCACTAATGTTCTCCAACAATCCTCTGAGGGCTTCACAGAACAGCTGTATTTATACTGACATTACATGACACACAGGCGGACTTTTTACTAATTAGGTGACTTCTGAAGGCAATTGGTTCCACTCGATTTTAGTTAGGGGTATCAGAGTAAAGGGGGCTGAATACAAATGCACGCCACACTTTTCAGATGATATTTGTAAAAAAGTTTGATAACCATTTATCATTTTCCTTCCACTTCACAATTATGTACCACTTTGTGTTGGTCTACCACATAAATTCCCAACAAAATACATTTACGTTTTTGGTTGTAACATGACAAAATGTGGAAAATTTCAAGGGGTGTGAAAATTTTTCAAGGAACTGTACTATATTGAACACTGTAATGATCACGAATGCAGAATTAAAACTACTAGATCTATATAAAACATTTCATTGCAAGCGACAAAACACATCTTTGTACAGATATAGTATGTTAGATAGATATAGATATCTAGTATGTTAGAGATAGATATAGAGATAGATATCTAGTATGTTAGAGATAGATATAGAGATAGATATCTAGTATGTTAGAGATAGATATAGAGATAGATATCTAGTATGTTAGAGATAGATATCTAGTATGTTAGAGATAGATATCTAGTATGTTAGAGATAGATATCTAGTATGTTAGAGATAGATATCTAGTATGTTAGAGATAGATATCTAGTATGTTAGAGATAGATATCTAGTATGTTAGAGATAGATATCTAGTATGTTAGAGATAGATATCTAGTATGTTAGAGATAGATATCTAGTATGTTAGAGATAGATATCTAGTATGTTAGAGATAGATATCTAGTATGTTAGAGATAGATAGATATAGATATAGTATGTTAGATATAGATAGATATAGATATAGTAGGTTAGATATAGATATAGTAGTTAGATATAGTATGTTAGATATAGATATAGTAGGTTAGATATAGATATAGTAGGTTAGATATAGATATAGTAGGTTAGATATAGATATAGTATGTTAGATATAGCTAGATATAGTAGGTTAGATATAGTATGTTAGATATAGATATAGTAGGTTAGATATAGATATAGTATGTTAGATATTAGATATAGTATGTTAGATATTAGATATAGTAGGTTAGATATTAGATATAGTAGGTTAGATATAGCTATAGTATGTTAGATATAGTAGGTTAGATATAGCTAGATATAGTATGTTAGATATAGCTATAGTATGTTAGATATAGCTATAGTATGTTAGATATAGATATAGTATGCTAGATATAGATATAGTATGTTAGATATAGATATTAGTATGTTAGATATAGATATAGTATGTTAGATATAGATATAGTATGTTAGATATAGAATGTTAGAGATAGATATAGTAGGTTAGATATAGATAGATATAGTATGTTAGAGATAGTATGTTAGATATAGTATATTAACCCTTTTATTTTACTCTTAAAAGAATTTCTATGAAGCACAGACAAGCTGACAGTCCATCAAATCACTCTATGGCTTTCCTCTGCTCATAGTAAATAGCTTCTTCCTAACTGTGCTAGAAAAGTGTGGTAAACAAAGCTCCAGTCCCTGCCTGACTTTCCCATAATTCCTGGCAGACAAGTAGGCCATTAGGGCACAGTCTGCCCTGACTTATACAAGTGTGTAATCAAGGAGTCACCTGCCAAGTAAATAAAAAGACCAGGACATGCACAATACAGCTGCTTGCACTTGGTCACGAGTTATGAGCGGTTGTGGTGCGGGGACTTGGGCGTCAGTGCTTGTGAATGTTACAAAATATTTTTCTGTAGTTTAGTGTATCTATGGTCAAAATGGAAAATCAGAATTTACACATGGTGCTTCAATTATTTCTACTCTACTCCTATTAGTGCTGAGTTGCATTAATGTAAATGGGCACCTCTGAAAACAATGTGATTTCCATTTTCATGCATTTATGTGCGTCTCAAGGCTCCAGGAGCGCGTAGCGTGGCGATCGGTGATGTGCTGTGTCCCTCAGACACAGCAGATCACCGATCAACGGAAAGAGACAAAGATGTTGGCTCGGTCATGTGATCAGCGGTGTCCAATCACAGCTGATCACATGTAAATAGGGAAATGCCGGTTATCAGCATTTCTCTCCTCACTAGATGTCACGCTGACAGAGGAGAGTCGGTAATCGGCATCCCTAAGAGGGGACATCTACACTGATCATCGGGGCACTGATGATCAGTGTGTCCTGATGATCAGTGTAGCCCCAGCAGTGCCACCTGTCAGTGTCCATCAATGCCACCTGCCAGTGCCCATCAGTGCACATCAATGCCACATATCAGTGCCCATCTGAGCTGTCTTTCAGTGCCACCCAACAGTGCCGCCTAACAGTGCCAGTCAGTGCCGCCTAACAGTGCCATATATGAGTGCTACCTTTCAGTGCCCATCAGTGATGCCTGTCAATGCCCATCAGTGCCACCTATCAGTGTCCATCAGTGCAGCCTATCAGTGCCCATCACTGCAGCCTCATTAGCGCACATCAGTGAAGGAGAAAAATCACTTATTTACAAAATTTTAAAAACTTAGAAAAAACGTTTTGGTTTTTTTTTTTTCAAAATTTTCAGTTGTTTTTGGTTTGTTTAGCAAAAAATAGAAAACCCAGAGGTGATTAACTACCACCAAAAGAACTCGCTGTCTCAAAAAAATAATAAACATTTCATATGGGTACAGTGTTGCATGACCGCGCAATTGTCAAAGTGTGACAGCGCTGAAAGCTGAAAATTGACCTGGGCAGGAAGGGGGTATAAGTGCCCTGTAGGCTAGTGGTTAAACTGCTTTATTGAATGCCCCTAATACTTAGGAATCCTGAATTTGTCAAATTTCTGACTAAGAAAGTCAACAGATTACCCTGATAACTTCAAGGCCTCCAAGACTACATGGCAATCAGCACATGCAGAGGTATGAGAAAGAACATCTCCTTTACATGCACATTATCCAATTTTCGAGAGAATAGCCCCTTTAACAGACTCATCACCAGCAAAAATGAAAAGAAAAGAGAGAGGATTATTGCTAAAGAAATAAATCTAGGTAGGGGGCCTGGCTGTCTGCACAGGAGATCTACCGATTCTCATGGGATCCACTGAAAGGCTTTACTGTCTTATACTGCTGCAGCCTTCCAGCTGGTCCCCTACCAGTCAGCAATTTCAAAGAGTTACTGGTGTGTATGTCTGGCCAAGAAGCTTGAAGCTAGACAGTTATTAATGAATGTGGAAGTAAAGCAAGTACGGCTTTCATTTCCTTTTTTCAATGTTTCTGGGGGAGAATGGAGAACGTAAGGTGGCAGATCATACCTGTGATCCCCATTCCACTCCCCATAAACCTGACTCTTTACACATTACTAATATACTAATTGACATACAGTATAAGTACAAATGCTGCATCTCTCAAACTCAACATTTCCAAATCTGAGCTCATAATACCCCTTCCTATGCCCCCCCATACCTCAACTTTTCCATCAAGGGTGCTAGATGCAATCCTGAACTCTTTCGGACCCCATGTCCAATCACTGTCCAAATCTTGCCGCCTTTACCTCTGTAAAATGTCCAAATTCACTCCTTCTTATCCAATGAAAAACACCAAAATAATTCACTCCCTTGTTATCTCTAGTCTCAACTTATAACAAGTCCTTTCTCTACAGGCTACCCCCCCCTTCAGTCTATCCATGAATGCTGCTGCCAATCTCTTACACCTGAAAAACAGCTCCGTGTCCTCCACTCTCGGACAATCCCTCCACTGGCTTCTGCTCACCCAACAAAATTCTAACACAACGCTGTTTACAATTCTGCCCCCACCTACATCACGGATCTTGCCTCAAAATACCACCCAAACCATCCTTTTTGCTCCTTCCAAAGTCAGCCATAGATGGATCCAATATTTAAGACCTCCTAATCTCTAGAACCTCGTCATCTGCTCTCATGCTTGCCTCCGGGACTTCTCCAGAGCCTTTCACGTCTTCTGGATCTCCTTACCCAAAGTCTGTCTGTCCATCTCCCTCTCTCTGTCTACCTTGGAGTGGGAACCCAAATTTGACAGGTACCCACTCCCACTTCCGCTGCGATTGCCTAGGCAATCAGAAGCGGAAGTTGTCTTCCCTCCCTGTAGTCTTCTTGGACACGTGACCGGTTCCAGGAGACTACGGGGCCATTCACAAAGTGAAGCGCTTCTTGTGCATGCGCAGTGGGCACCCGGCTGTGAAGCCACAAGCTGTCACAGCCGGGTGCCCACACTGAAGATGCCGGCGCCAGGGAGAGAAGACGGCTGGTGAAATCAGCCGTGGTGAGGACACCGCTGGACTGAGGGACAGGTAAGGATCTGTATTTTAAAAGTCAGGAGCTACAGTTTTTTTTTTCAGGTGGAACTCCGATTTAAGTATAGCAGCACTAACCTATATTCAGGGAAAAGAGCACCAGTAAATGTTTGAGCTTTTTTGCTCCAGGTGCCCATTAAAGTAGAACTTCACTCTCTCAATCAACATGGACTATTTTGAATCCTTATGCTACTAGCATTAGTAAATGAATTGGAAAGTATATAATATTTACTTGTTTAAAACTTTTTTTTTTTTTTTTTACATTTCTTCAGTTACTTCCTGCTTTCAATGCCTAGGCAAATTATGTCATACATCCCAGCAGTCTTCAGGGGAGGGGAGGGTTTCCGCTCAGCCAATAACTTAGCTAGGGGCAGATGGATTCCAGGAAGTAAATGCTGCATGAACCATCTGCCCTTACTTAAGATGGCCACAGCCAGAAGTGGCAGGGTGCGTTTTTCAAAATGATTTCTCAGCAAAATAAAGCATGAAGACGTGGATAAATGGGGGAGTCTGCACTAAATATTAACAATTAAATAGCATTTTTGGTTTGTGGTGCTCAGATTCAGTGCAGTTCCACTGTAAATTCATATAAAATTTTCTTTTTTTTTTTTTTTTTAAAGGATTTATTACCCAGTGTGCAGGAACGTAGTAAAACATGTCTGAGGCCAACCAGCACAGGGATTCACCAACACAGAAACGTGCCTGACGGAAGCCGACCGCAGTTTCCCTGGCACAGACCCGTGTGCACAGTGGGACGGAGAACGACAGAAAGTGAATGGGTTAAAGGGAGGGTGGCTGGGCATGGCTCATTTTCCCCTGTGTAATTATCAAACCAAACTTGTTTGACAACGCCAAAAATAATAAGCGGGATCGAGGTGCCAAGAAAAAAACTGTCAGCCACACAGTGCCTCTTCCAAGGACTCCTCACATCTGCTTTTTAAGTTTGCTCTTTGGAAGGCATTCGGTGCAGGAAAGTATTTATTGGCCGGTGGGTCTTCCTCTGTCAAGGCCGAGGCAGGCACACAGTACATTAACCCGTACAGCTGCACCATAGCCTGCTCCTGGTGAATGCAGCTTCTTTAAAAGAAAGACACAGACCTTTTCAATTTTTTTTTTTTTTTTTTTAAATCTTCATGTGAATGTAATCATCTTTATGGAAACCTGGAGCGAGATCAAATAAATCTGATAATGCTTATTGCCTGGCTGCCTCTATAGTTTCAATGACCCAAAACAAGCAGCTGGTCCAGTCTGTTCGTCTGACTTGTGTACTTGCTCTGGATTAACCACTTGCCTACCGGGCACTTATACCCCCTTCCTGCCCAGGCCAATTTTCAGCGCTGTCGCACTTTGAATGACAATTGCGCGGTCATGCAAGATTGTACCCATATGAAATTTTTATCATTTTTTTCACATAAACAGAGCTTTCTTTTGGTGGTATTTAATCGTCGCTGGGTTTTTAACTTTTTGTGCTATAAACAAAAAAAAGTGCAAAAAATTAGAAAAAAAAAAAAAAGTTTTTGTTTCTATTATAAAATTTTGAAAACAGGTAATTTTTCTCCTTCACTGGATGTGCGTTGATGAGGCAGCAGTGGTGGGCACTGATGGGCAGCACTAATGAGGTGGCATGAGAGAGGCGGCACTGATAGGTGGCGCTGATGATGGGTACTGATAGTCAGCACTGACTGGTGTCACTGCTGGGTATTGACTGACGCAACTGCTGGGCATTGACTGGTGGCACTGCTTGACTGCACTGCTGGGCACTGGTGTGGCACTGCTGGGCACTGCTGGGCGATTGGGGGGACGGCAACTGGTGGGCGAAGCTGGTGTGGCACTGGTGGGCACTGGTGGGCGAAGCTGGGGGGTGGCACTGCTGGGCACCGGTAGGCGGAGCTGGTGGGTGGCACTGCTGGGCACCGGTGGGCGAAGCTGGGGGGTGGCACTGCTGGGCACCGGTAGGCGGAGCTGGTGGGTGGCACTGCTGGGCACCGGTAGGGCGGAGCTGGTGGGTGGCACTGCTGGGCACCGGTAGGGCGGAGCTGGTGGGTGGCACTGCTGGGCACCGATCAGAGCACTGATCATCAGTGCCCTGATGATTGGTGCAGATCCCTGCTCTGACAACTGCCGATTCCGCCACCGGCCAATTAAAAGGCCAAAAACCCAGCAACCCGAAATAGCCAGAGAGAAGATGAAAGCGACTGGCAAGGGATTTAACCACCACCTTGTATTTCTTTCAGTTTGGTTCCACTTTAAGCGGAACTAAACCCGATGATCTAACGGTCTTCCAAAACTTGTTCATTCAAGGCATGCCGTGAATGACAACCGTCACAGTTGCTTGTGCAATAAACCAAAATGGTCCAGCTACCAAATAGCTATTGTTATAATCCATGTGCAGAACCATGTCAACTCCAGATCCAAAGGCTAAGATGGCAGATTCCTTGACTATAAAGTATAGGAAGGTTTAGTTGTATATAAATGGCCGGACGGTGGCAGTGCAGGGTCGGGTGGCCGTTCGTAAACGGCCTCACCGCCCCCTGCTTGTGCACACTCCCTGGGAGCGCACAGCACTGCGATCAGGTGCCCGCTGTGTCCTCCGGACAGCGTCGGACGGGACCTCTGTACGAGGTCCCAATCATGTGATTGCTGATTGGCCAATCAGTGATCGCATGCAAAGTAGTAAGCAAGATGTCACTTGTGACATCATTGCTTACTACGTGTGAAATCTGTGAATGATCACAGAGATCACATGGTACAAGGCTATTCACAACAGCCTTGTGCCATGTGACAAGCTGTGACCAATCACAGCTCACTCAGTTCTCAATGGCTGCAAGAATGCAGATAAAGAGAAATGATTGCTTTTACATCCTATATGGGTGTAAAAGCAATCAGTGTAAAAAAAAAAAAAAAGTAAAAAAAAAAAATCTTCATCACCCCCACAAGTAGTACAGTGTCACTATGGTGACATTGTACTGCTAAGGTGACCATATGAAAATAAATAAAAAAATTAAATATAAAAAAAAAAATGTAAAAAAAAAATGTTTAAAAATTATAATTTTTGGTTATAAATTAATTTGGCTTTTTTTTTTTACTAAAAAGATAATGGAATACATTT